TTCCAATGAATAATCAGGACTGGTTTCCTTTAGGATGGACTGGTTTGATCTCCTTGCAGACCAAGGGACTCTCAAAAGTCTTCACCAACACCACAGTTCAAAAGCATCAATTCTTCGGTGCTCAGCTTTCTTTATAGTCCAACTCTCACATCCATACATGACTACTGGAAAAACAATAGCTTTGACTAGATGGACCTTTGTTGGTAAAGTAAGGTCTCTGCTTTTTAATATGCTGTCTAGGTTTGTTGTAACTTTTCTTCCATGGAGCAAGCATCTTTTAATTTCATGGCTGCAGTCACTGACCATCTGCAGTGATTTTGGAGCCCAAGAACATAAAGTCTGTCACTATTTCCATTGTTTTCCCATCTATTTGCCATGAAGTGATGAGACAGGATGCCATGATCTAAGTTTTTGAAATGTTGAGTTTTAAGTCAGCTTTTTCACTTTCCTCTTTCACTTTCATCAAGAGGCTGCTGTGGAGCTTCTAGAAGAGTGGAGTTATGGTTTACTGAGGTGGAAAAGACTACAGGAAGAGCAGATTTATTGCAGGAGAGAAGGAAATTGAGGACAGTTTTGGACATGTTGAGTTCAAAACACCTATTAGACTTGTAAGTGGAGACAGTAGTTGACTATCAGAATCTGAAGTTTAGGGGAGTAATCAAGGCTAAAGATACAGATTTGGGAGTGTCAGGGTATAGATAGTATTTATGGTGAGATGACTAGGTGAAATTACCTAGACTATAAGAGGAGAAGGAGATGGGAAGAGTTCTGATGACAGTCATAGGGCTACCTTGGCATTCAACAGCATTGAGATTTGGGAAAATAAGGAGGAATCTACCAAGGAGACTGAGACAGAGTCATTAGTGAGGTTAAAAAAAAAAACTAAGACAAATGTTTCAAAGAGAGAGTAAACAAGTTGTGTTAAAGGAATAAGGTTAAGACTGAGAAATGACCATTGGATTTGTCAAAATGAAGGTCAGTTTTCACTTGAGAGGAGAAGTTGAGAATAGTTGAAAACTTAGGAGTGGAACGGAATTGAAGACAGCTAATATGGGCAGGGCTTTAGATTTTTCCTTTTAAGGACGACTTTGAAGTAAACAACAAATGAGAGCCCAGGGAATGTCTTTTAAGTATTTTTAAAGGATATTACAATGTTTTTAGTATGCAAGTAGAGAGAAAAAAAATGTGCAAGAGGTAGAATTGCTGGAGGGAAGATGGGGTGGAATTAATCGCAACTGAAGGTCAACCTTAGATAGGAACATTGGGCAGTTTACCCCCGGTAACAGGAGATTAATCAGAGGATATGTGTAGACATGCAGATAGGCTGAGGTATGCAGTGACCAGAGGTTGTGAAAGTTCTCATTTCATTGCTTTTCTCTTCTCTTCGAAACCTCTCCAGTGAAATAAATAAGGCCATCATCTGCAAGTTAAGAATAGAGAGGAGATACTGAAAGTTTTAGAGATGAAGCTATTCAGTGATTATCTTTAAAAATGGAATGGAAATTAATTTGGGAATGTGTTCAGCTGCTCTGATGCAGGTTAAAATAGGGGATGAGTTGGATTTACCTGTGCTTTAGGTTTTGTCAAGTGAAGCTAGATGAGGAAGAGAGGAACAAGTGAAGAGAGGACTGCATCTTGCAAACAAGTAATTAATTGATGGGCCATGAAATAATCAGGTAAAGAGGGCAGTCATGTGCATGGGCTCTGGGGCAGTCAGAGGATAAAAGTCTGCACATTGGAGACCTGAAAGGTATTAAGAACTTGTTTGAGTCTGAAAAGAAGTGGTCAGGAAAGGTAAAAGATAATGCTCAGAGAATACTTGAAGAATTATATTATGGAAAGAGTTCAGAATCTAGGTACAGTCATAGGAATTAAATGGCTGAGGTGAGGTGGAAAAGGTGGTGTTGTAACTGAGAAGATATGTTATGCTCCTAACTCATGATGGTATTTATACTTTTCTGATTTCAATAAACAGTTTTATGCAGATACCAATAAAGCCTCTCTACTTTTCTTAAAAATACTCTTGTTTTTACAAGTGCCAGTTGGTTCTCAATGTACAAGATTCCTAATAGTTTCTTTCAGCTTATAATCCTTTGAACTGCTGAATCAGTGTTAGTCAGGGAGCTTTGTTTGGAAAAAATTGTTTTGGTTTTAAGATTCTAGAACGACTCATGAAATTAAGAGGTCCACAAGCTAAATTTGACCTGTAGATACATTTTGTTTGATAAAAACAGTGCAATAAAAAGATAACTTGAGTTGATGGGGCATTCCAGTTTGTCACAGTTCCCCACCACTTATCCCACACTCCACTTTTCCCCCTACTTCCATCATCATTTTTGTCTTATAATTTCCCAGCATCTTTACAGCCTTTTACTCATTTATGTTTACTGGTAGCTGTTTCTCAAGGCATTCACATTTAGAACTCTTTGCCTTAGACAGACCTACTGAAACACAATCTCCAGAGTTGGGCTTTTGTCATTTCTATTTGGACATGTCCTTAAGTAAATCTGATGGCAGACAATGGTTGAAAAAGACAGCTTTTACTTACTAGCAGTGGATCTTGGGTCAGCAACTTAACCTCTCTTGTTTTCAGTTTTCTATCCATGAAGTTGATATTAAAATAATAGAACTCACCTCATGTGGTAGTGATAAGACATAAATGAGATAGTATGAAAACAGGCACTATGCCTGGTACATGGTGGATATTCAGAAAAATTTTTTCCCTTTCCATTTTCTTCTAGGAATAGGATCTTGAAAGTTTCTCCAGGCAAGTTGAGGGGATATTCCAAGTCAACCAGATTATTAATTAGCACACGATTTTGAATGGTCTAATAAAACTGAATAGCCAGTAACTTGAACAAGGAAGATGTTAAATTCTTTCTATGATTCCAGACTGATTTTATGTTCAGAGGAGTTTGGTTCCAGGGACCAGGTACCTCTGACTTATTGTCATATTTCTTTAGTTTGTTGTACTTTCTCACGTGGTCAGAGATGGTTTTTCACCACCTTGCCTGGGTTGTACCCCATTGGTAGGAAGGAAGAGAAGGTGAAGAGTGGACATTTCCTTTCAAGGGTCTGGTTAAGAAATTTCATAAACTTCATTGGCTGGAACTTATCACGTGGTCATACTCAGCTGCTGAGGGTCTGGAGCAGAAATTTTCCAGCAAGGTCATCATGTATCCAGTAGAAAATCAGAGGATTCTAGTACTAAGGGGAAAAACGGGAGGATAAATGTTAATGGATAATGGTTGCTTGGTATATCTGTTTCATTCTCTAAACAAGATTAATCCCTTAGTCCTAATAGCCTTAGATTTAGGATTTATTGTCCCCAATCCCAAGTCATGAAACAAAAGAAAAATTACTTGGGCTGCTTCATCCTTTTCATATGTCTTTTTGACTAGAAATGACTGGTCTTTTTACCAAGTCAGAGTCTTTTTTTTAATTCTTAACTGACCTATGCAAGCATGAATCCTATCTCTGATAACTCAATTTCAACATCACCTACTACTTTAAGACAGTAGAATGGTTCTTGAGATCATTTTGACTATAGTTCAATATATTCTTTATTTCCACTTACTCTCTTTTTGCCAGGATGTGTAGAGCACGTTGTGAGAAAGCAGCTGTGTGTGAGTGTGAATGAGAGAGAATCCAATTTCCTGTCTACATTTTTGTATTTATTCCTGTACCTATATGAAGTAATTATTATTAAATCTGTTTTCTTAATGAGTTAACAGAGACCCAGCGATAATTAGCAACTTGTTTAAAGCCACAAAAATCTTTAATTGGTGGGGCCAGGTTTTATGTCCAGCTATTTATATATCCAGATTCTCTAATCACAGTATTCACAGTGCTATATTGTGACATCTGTGGATATCATACTAGAAAATTGCATTATATATTTTGCTGTTTTTAATGTTAAGGACACTTTGGTTTTACTGTATGATAATTTTTCTTTTTGTACTTTTCATTTGTTTCTTCTTTTGTTAGCATCATCATTTCTCTTTGGGTTGTAAAACCCCACTTTACTAAGAGACTCTTAATATAACTTAGGTAAAAACTGTATGGGCAGCTTATCTGTTTTCCTCTTTGAGACAGACCTGAAGAATGAACTACTTGTTACTTTGCTGGCAGTTGCATTGCTGAATGCTTTTTTTTTTTGCCTACATATTTACAATTTTTTTTCTATTTTTGATAGTAGATTTCCTTTTATGTTTTTGTATCCTATTACTTATGAATATGTACCCATTAAGGTAGTACCATAAAATAAGACTGTGAGAGAGCTGTGTTTCCATTTGAGGTTTTAGAATTTTGTAGAGAGTTAAAGAGAATGTCTGAAGTGTTTTATTGATGAGGCCTGGCCTTTTTTAAAGACTACTTTGTATTAGGGTATAGCTGATTAACAAACAATATTGTGATAGTTTCTGGTAAACAGTGAAGGGACTCAGCTATACATAAACGTGTATCCATTCATTCTCCCCTAAACTCCCCTGCCATAAGGCCTGGCCTTCTTAATCTAATTTTACCCCAGGTAGAGTTTGCCTGTGCATTTCTTGTCAGTTAGAAATGCCCTACTTACCTGTGTTGACTAGTCCTATATTTTCTAGATATATTGTTGTTTTATAATATTAATCTATGTATTCATAACTTTAATGATGGTTTCTACCTATGACTATTAATATCTTATTTGTTTTAAATAGTGATTTTTTTTTTTTTAGGCAACAACTTAATGTAATACCTAACTTTTGATTTCAGTATTTTTAAATCCACAAGGCTGTATAAAGAAAAAAAATTGTTAATTTGAATTTGGTATACAGGATTAAGTTCCTAAAGCAGCAGTTTTTATCATTATGTATAAAACTTAATTTTGTAATTTATTTTTAGGAATAACCAGCACTGTGGTATATTCTTCAAAAAGGAAATGTTATCTCTTATGGCTTTTTAAAAAATGGGCCTTTGGAGTAAAAAATGTTCATTTCCCCCCCTCTGTTTTTTTTATATAGGATATAGCAGATCCATTTTTTGCTTATTGTAAGCAACATGCAGATAGGTTAGACAGAAAATGGAAGAGAAAAAACTACTTGGCTCTGCAATCCTATTGTAAAATGTCTTTACAAGAGAGAGAGAAGCAGTTATCACCAGAAGCACAGGTATGAGATTCATTCCAAAATTCGTGTTTTTCTTCTTTCAAGGGTATAGATTTTAGGGAATTCCCTGGTGGTTCAGTGGTTAGGACTCTGCGCTCTTACTGCTGAGGGCTCCAGTTTGATCCCTGGTAACAGAGCTAAGATGCCACAAGCTGTACGGCCTGGCCAAAAAAAAACGAAGTTAGAAATTTAAGATCTCATGCGTCTTTGATATGTGATGTATAATTGTGAAATTTGGTTAGTGTAATTGTGAAATTACCTAGAAATTGGCCGTCATTAAGGTAAATGGAGAGTATAGTTTGTGATTGAATACATTACTCATCATCTAGTCTCAAGAAAACAGTCATTTATAAAACATGTTTCTACTACATTAAAGAATGTGGCTTAGAGGAAATTATTTTATCAGTGCAATATGTTGACCACATCTTTTTTCAGTCTCTTCTAAGATTTGTATGTGCAAAGACTGATTAGTTTGCCTGTCATATGACATATATTTGTGTGTAAATTAAGTAAATTTATGAAGACTAGTACAAGGCTAGTTGAGAAGAGAAACTTCAGCATAATCATTCTAGTTTTTGACAATTAATCATAGGCTAGGGCAGTTGTTAACTAGGGGTAGACCTGATTTATCGTAACCCAAAAATTATGCTGTATACCTTAAGGACTGTGGATAGATATAATTTGCCTCAATAGAGGAACTTCTGATCATCGTTACTCTTGCTAAGTGTGGAAATAAAAATCATAAGAAGTCTGTTCCGTTTTAATATCTTTTAAAATTTGTATATGTTTCTTTTATAGGCAAGGATCAATGCCCGGCTTCAGCAGTATCGTGCCAAAGCAGAACTAGCTCGATCCACCAGACCCCAGGCCTGGGTTCCGAGGGAAAAATTGCCCAGACCACTCACTAGCAGTGCTTCAGCCATTCGCAAACTTATGCGGAAAGCAGAACTAATGGGGATCAGTACAGATATCTTCCCAGTGGACAATTCAGATACTAGTTCTAGTGTGGATGGAAGGAGAAAGCATAAGCAACCTGCTCTCACTGCTGATTTTGTGAATTATTATTTCGGTCAGTATAGGCCCTGATGCATGCACATTTTCATTGAGAACAATTTGCCTATAGAAATAGTTGATACACTGTCCGTTTTTAGAAATTTACTAGTTTTGCTACATATATCAAGTATGTTTATTTTCCTAATAAGTTGTGGATTGTTGTAAAATGCTAATTTAATGTGTTTGTGAGTAGAGTTAAAAGTGTCTAGGTTTATCCATGTGATCATCTCTATGGCTAGCTTCTTCCTGTGTGTATTTCGTATATCAGCTTTTATTTTCTTCTAAACTAAAATTGGATATTTAATTTAACTAGAGAGAAATATGCGCATGATTCAAATTCAGGAGAATATGGCTGAACAAAAGAATATAAAGGATAAATTAGAGAATGAACAAGAAAAGCTTCATGTGGAATATAATAAGGTAAAACAAGCAACGTAATGTATTACATCCTATTGATGATTTCCTTTGTGATTTTTTATTTATGTTTCATTTTGAAATTCCTCTGGAGTTTCTACGACTTGTCTGTAATTCTGACCCCTCGTTATCTTCATTACCATCACTGAGTACTTTCTATGTGCCAGGAACAGTTTTGAGCATTTTTACTTGTATTAACTCATCTCATTCTCACTTCAGCTTTATAATGTGGCTTATGATTACTGCTCCCTTCTTCAGAAGCATAAACTGAATCCTAAACAGGTGAAGTAATTTGCCCACGTTCACAAAGGTAGTCAAGGCATAGAGTTGGGGTTTGAGGCCCAATAGTCTGACTCTATTCCTTATTCCTAACCACTGTATTATAGAACTTATCTTTCTAGGTTACAGAAAATTTTAAAACTTACTTTTGAATTACTGTTTTTTTCTTGAATTGTTTTGACTTTGGATTAAAAAAAAAAAAAAACCTCCCGATTAAAATTTCTCTTCTACGTCTTCATTCTAAAGATAAAGAAGTTCATGAAGCAGTGTAAAAAAGCAAGTTGTGACTAACTGTGAGGTAATAAGTAACATGAGCAAAATCTGGGTTGACTTTTTTGGGGGGCTGTGCTGGGTCATCACTGTGGTGCCAGGGCTCAGTGACGCTGCTTATGGGCTTCTCTAGTTGCAGAGCCGGGCTCGCTTGCCCTGAGGCATGTAAGGTCTTAATTCCCCAGCCAGAGATCAGATCTGCGTCCCCTTCATTGAAAGGTGGATTCTTAACCACTGACCACAGGGAGGTCCCCAGGATTGACTTATTGATGTATAACATTTTCTTCTCATTGGAAAAATGGTAGGGGTGCACCTTGACAACACTCACAAGGGTTAATTAGTATGTCTGGAAATTACATAGTAAACTATAATAGAATATGTAAGAAGCATTATTAGTAAAATGTTAACATAAAATGCTTACTTTTTGTTGGTGCTGCTTAAATAGTTGGAGACTTTGATTTTTCAGTGTACTGTGACTTGAATGTGTTAAATATATATGGAATAGAAATGTAGATAGTTTGGACATTGATAAATTATTTATATTTTCAAATATGTTACTGAATATCGTAATGGTCTACTAATTTGAATTGTTTACATTATAGCTCTGTGAATCTTTAGAAGAACTACAAAACATGAATGGAAAACTTCGAAGTGAAGGACAAGGAATATGGGCCTTACTAGGCAGAATCACAGGGCAGGTTAGTTTCTTTCCAATTGCTCTCGCCTTCTCTTCTTGCTTTCTGTATGATTTCAAAGATTGGATCTCTAATACAACTGTCACTTCACTAACTGAAGAATTCTGTTTAATCAGGGCCAGCTAATCCTCTGGGATGATGGTTTCTGCCTGAAATGCATCTAGAGCTTTGCAAGCTGCCTACTGAGAACCTGTAGCTTAATATGGTTGTTTTAACAGCTATCTTGTTTGCAAAATTTTTTCATTTGCTCTAACTGATTGACCTGTCATTTGTGATGAAGCTAAGATTTGAAGCATGAGTTACTCCCACCATATTCTTCTGCCTTTACATAGCAGTTTCAGATTCCTTGCCACATTTCTTCTGTCCTATTCTTGTGCTTTAATTAGTTTTTTTTTTTTTAATGGGGGAAATGTAAAAGGAAAACTGGATTTATTTTCATGTTGATGGGTTTTGAACTTATAAGAAATGGTTTTTGAAATTTAATGTTAAAGTGTAGTTTTTCCCTTCATTAGTTTTATTTTAATTATGAAAGAAATTACTTTATCCTTGAACATATTGAGCCTATTAAAGTTCTTGGTATTGAAAAGAACAATCATTGCCAAATGGATTTCTTTGAATGCTTTTTTTTAGTACTGTGTATTTAATTCTTAATAATTCATTTGAATAATTTCAGTTATTTCTTTAAGGATGATGGAGACTCGGTGTGGTCTTTTCACTATGGAAATAGTTGTATTTTTGAAGGAAAGTTTTTAAAGAACAGATATTTTTTGTGGTACTTATTTTAAAGGTTTATAAAAAGCCAAATTCATTATATAGTTTGTCTAGACACATTATTTTAGAAAGTAATACATACCGATACGTATTGTGCCATGCTAGCTTTGAAGATGCTTCTTTTGTGAACAGTGTGTATGTGGCGTATGGTATAATGAATAACATAAGAGGTGAGAATGAGTAGTTACATATGCACAGTTGACGTTCGTTTCTATTGATAGGCTGTTGGTGAATATTTGGAAAGATTATAGTATTTTATATTTAGTGAAATTAATATTGAATGCAAGCATATGAGTTTATTTGGCAAGCTAGCATTATCTTTTGGCCTGATTTGCAAGTTTGTCTTGTAAGAATTTATTTAGTATAAGTTATGAAAGAGAATTTTAATTTATTAAATCACTTGAAACAGAAGCACATGAATTTCTGTGTGCAAATGTAAAGTACACAGAAGAAGTAGAATTCATTTGTACCACTTGCAGGACACTTTTTTTCCAGTTGGTTGAACTGATGCTGGCCCACTGGGCCACTGAGAAATGACTTTGATAGATGGTTGCTGTCTAAGAAGCCAGTATACTACAAATTAGTAGAAACCCAAAGAGAATCTAAATCGCTTTGTGAAGAGTTTGGTCCAATAAGATAATTTTTCTAATTAACCTTTGGAGCACCAGTGTAGCTGTGGTGTTGAAGAAAATAAACGGCCTCAATATTCCTTTTGTCAAGGGTTCTTTTTTTTTTTTAAGTTCTTGAATTCTTGTCCTTGTCTTTCACTTTTAAAACGAAAGTAGAAGTTTGATTTTCACAGTGTTTTAGTGGTCCAGAGAAAATTGAGGAAAGTAGCTAATTATAGGCTTCTCACAGCAGTGACTGTGAGACAAAAACTCATTTTAGTGCTTTTTGCCAGTGTAAAAGCTTATGAAAGATTTCCCCCTCACAATTCTAGCATATTAATTGACTTGAACGGTGCATAAAGAAAAATGTTGCTTTATATTTTTTCTTTGAAAACAAAATAAACTGCATTTGTTCAAATCAATAGAAGTTGAATATACCGGCAATTTTGCGAGCACCCAAGGAGAGAAAACCAAGTAAAAAAGAAGGAGGCACACAAAAGACATCTACTCTTCCTGCAGTACTTTATAGGCAAGTAATGAAATTTTGATAGATTAATATAGTGTATTTTTAAATGAATACTTTTTAGTACCAAGATGCTTTAAATATTTGTGAATGAATTATGTTTATATGAGAATTTAAAGTTAAATGTGTTTGAAGTTCTTTTTTTTTTCTTGAAGTTCGTTTTATTAATACCGTCATCAAAGATACTTTCCAGACTGAATGATGATAGAATAGAGTCACTCCTCTTTTAATGATAAATCACTGTTTGTATACTTTGAGTAACTGGGATTATATGTGTACAAGCTCCATGGAAAACTCCTCTTTAGAAAACTGGAAAGTGACTTTTAAGTAATGTACATGATTATTTTCTTAAATAGTTAAAACAATGTGTTGGATAAATGGACATTTATATTTTATTTTGCTTGAGTGAGTTTTAGAGGTTTACATGTGTTTTTAGATAGTGTTGGATATTATAGTTTGAATTACTGCCTTTGTACAGTGGCAGTGGTGGATAATGAAGATAAGTTTTATTTTATTTTATTTTTTTATTTTTTTACACTAACCAATCTTTTAATAGCACAGATTCATTTCCATTGTTTTGGTACATTGTACAAATGGATTCATACAATATGTATTTTTTTTTCTTTTTTTTTTATTTCCATTTATTTTTATTAGTTGGAGGCTAATCACTTCACAATATTGTAGTGGGTTTTGTCATACATTGACATGAATCAGCCATGGATTTACATGTGTTCCCCATCCCAATCCTGCCTGAGCGGTTCAGGCAGCCAGGGGCTTGGGCGTACTCTCCCCGGGTGCAGCGCGCCTTTTCCCTCCGCGGCGAGCGGCTCAGGCAGCCAGAGGCTTGGGCGCACTCTCCCAGGATGCGGTGCGCCTTTTCCCTCCGCGGCGAGCGGCCCAGGCAGCCAGAGGCTTGGGCACACTCTCCCGGGATGTGGGGCGCTTTTTGTCTCCGTGGCGAGCGGCTTAGGCAGCCAGAGGCTTGGCTGCAATCTTCCCGGATACGGCGCGCTTTTCCCCTCCGCGGCCCCAGCGCGCGCCGCCAGTCGGGTCTCAGGAAGTCTTTAGATGGGAACCGGGGGCCTGTTTGCAGTGTGGGAGGGGGTGGCTTCTCAGGGGCTGAGTTTGCCCTTTTCCCCTCCCCCGTGCCCCCTACCTTCAGTGGGGATTGGCCGGCTCTTCTCTGGAGTTTCTCAGTCCGTTTGTTTTGCGAACTGCCTGCAATGTGTTTGGGCCGGTTAATTTTGTCCCTTGCTATCCCACTGTTTAAAAAAAGCTCCCTCCGATGGCTCTCAGGGTCTTCGGGCTGGTCCTTACCCTAAGCAATGCCGCCCGCTCCTCTCCGTTCCGCCCCCGCTTGTTGCTGGTGGGTGCGGGCGTCTGGGTTACTTTTCTGCTGGGAGTTGCTTTTAGGCACGTAATCTGTGGGCCTTATTTAATTTTTCCTCCCAGTTAGATTGCCGAAAACTTCCCCCAGTCCCGCCAGTGCGAGGGTTTCCTGGTGTTTGGAAACTTCCTCTATTAAGACTCCCTTCCCGGGACGGGTCTCCGTCCGTAGCTCTTTTGTCTCCCTTTTTATCTTTTATATTTTGTCCTACCTCCCTTCGAAGAGAATGGGCTGCTTTTCTGGGCGCCTGATGTCCTCTGCTAGCGATCAGAAGTTGTTTTGTGAAATTTGCTCAGCGTTCAAATGTTCTTTCGATGAATTTGTAGGGGAGAAAGTGGTCTCCCCGTCCTATTCCTCCACCATCTTGGCTCCTCCCCTGAAGATAAGTTTTAGATTTGAATCTGTCTAAATTTTTTTTGTGTGCTCAGTTGTAACAAGTTCATTTCCCCAAATATTTTTGTTCTTTTTTTTTTTTTTGGCTTAATATTTTACAGTGTTCACCATTGTAGCATTTTTATATAGTTAAGATTTCTTTCCATACCAGTAGGTTTGGATCTTACTTTTTTTTTCATGAAGCTGATGAAACTAATTGAGACAAGTTTAGAAGTTGCTAGTATGTTTGTGTGTATCCATACACACACAAATGTATCTATTCACACACACAAGTAAATATGCTTATGTAAATTTATACATGTTCTCCACACAATCTCTTTCTTTATCAGAAATAGCAACAACAATATCAGTCTTAATAACTATTTTCTCTTCTAGCTTGGAGGCTTTCTCCATAGGTAATAGCAGTTAACTTCCTTGAAATGTGGGAAAAGCTCACTAGTGTCTATAGTGTACTTTATGAAGACTTAGCAACTTTCACAGTCTAGCTTTTCCAGATAAAATTGTGTCATTTGAAACTGTCAGGCTTATCACTTATGCTTCTGAGTTTTCATCACTATAGCTCATTTTTGTTTCAGAATACAGTTTAGTAATTTTTCATTTTTACTCTGAGCAACTTTGATACCAAGTATCGGTCTTTGTTGTACGTGTATATTTGATTTTTTTTTTCCCTAAGGTTATTTAAAATTCAAAAATCATTGCTGTTTCTGTATATGTATGCTTTTTTTAGGTTCTCAACAACTTTTTTCTCACCCTTCACATTCCTAATATAAGTACACCCTGGATTTGTAGATCATGGTGTTTTGTGCTCTCAGGAGTAGTTAACGTTTTGCACAAGAAAAGTTAGATTTCTTAAGAACAATAAAAACTCTAAAACAACAGTAACAATAATAAAACTTCCAGTTCTTTATAATAAACATCAATTGGTATATTTTTAAGACGCAAAGTCTGATTCTGTAAAAAGACTTACATATGTAATTTATTTACATATTGAAGGTTCTTTGAAAGATTTAGAGTTAATGGTAGAAAATAAACGGAATTTTGTTTGTAAAGTAACTTCTTTGTAGTTTTAGAGAGGTAGAAAATTGAAAAATATTTTTGTTTAATAATTTGTTCCTAGAGATAATTTTGTCTGATGTTACATGGGCTCTTAAGTAATAATTAAGATTAAGATGACATTAGAATAAATACCTAACACATGCCCTTCTCGGAATAGTTTGACTGTAGCAAAATTATAGATCTAAACTATTTTTCTACATTCTCAAAACTGTTTAGATTGTTGCCATTGTAAAAAGATATGTGTTATAAAAAAATATTTGATTTCAATTAAAGAAATATTAAGTTAAATCATAGTGAAATTTTGAAAATTTAAAAATATGCCATAAATTAATTATTCACTATGATAATTATTATTCTAATCCTTTATTGCTGCCTTTATCAAAGCTGTGGCATTTGTAAGAAGAACCATGATCAGCATCTTCTTTTATTGTGTGATACCTGTAAACTCCATTACCATCTTGGATGTCTGGACCCTCCTCTTACGAGGATGCCAAGAAAGACCAAAAACAGTTATTGGTAAGTAAACTGAAGAGCATTTAGATGTTAGAACTGGTGTTGCTCTTAGTTTCAATAGTATAAGATGAAGTGTTACAACATATTGATGCATAATAAAGTTTTCAGTATATTTTCAATTGAAAATTTTATAATGTTTTCCAATAATGACATATTGGCATTTAAAAGTTGTATGTATTTAATATATGTGTACACTGTGAAATAGTCACCACAGTCAAGCTAATTAGCGTATTCATCACCTCACATAGTTATCATTTTTTGTGGTAAGAACACTTCAGACATAAATGTTTATTACAGTATTGTATGCATATAAATGTAGCAGTTTTTCTTGATAAATCAACTTTAAGTTAATTGAGTCTATTTTAATATCTTAGCGATGGTTTCTTAAGGCATGAATTCTGTCTAGTGTGTTTATAATTCTCTTTATTAAAACATTTTTTCAAATTCTTTATTTTTGTTTTTTATCAAGAATTTGCCTCTGTATTCATGCTTTAAATGTAGTTTAGTATTTTGTTTCTAAATTAGTGTCACCAAAGGCTTAAGTTCTAGTAGTTGTCATTTATGCTAGTTGTATATTTAAATTCAACCATTCTTTGTAAATCTAGAAACATTTGATTTATGTTTCTGAATTTTTTCATTAATTTAGGCATGTTGAATCACTACAGATATTTGATAAAAGTTTATGATACTTATAAGTTTTATTCTTTCCTTAATTTTAGTCCAAGAGAAGGACAGATGTTCAAATTCTAATAGATTAATTCTGTATAGGAAGAATATAGGCCACCTGGAGCTTTGGAAGGCACACAACTATTCTTTTTATATAAATTTTACACAACTTCTAGTTTTAGAAAAGACTAGATCCCAGAGTCTTAAATGGTAATGTGTACAAAAAGGTATTTATCAAATACATTAAAGCATGTTTTCTGACCTCATTGTTTTATTTCTTAAACCTACGTTTGTCCATTTTATTAAGACGCTCATGATCTTTCACCATTTTCACATGATTACTTTTTCATGAAGTGAAGTGAAAGTCTCTCAGTCATGTCCGACTCTTTGCGACCCCATGGACCATACAGTCCATGGAATTCTCCAGGCCAGAAGACCGGAGTCTGTAGCCTTTCCCTTTTCCAGGGGATCTTCCCGAGTCAGGTATTGAACCCAGGTCTCCTGCATTGCAGGTAGATTCTTTACCAGCTGAGCCACAAGGGAAGCCCAAGAATACTGCAGTGAGTAGTCTATCCTTTCTCCAGTGGATCTTCCCAACCCAGGAATCGAACTGGAGTCTCCTGCATTGCAGGTGTATTCTTCATCAACTGAGCTCTGAGAGAAGCCCTTCTCTTTCATAGTGCTCTTGTATCAATTTGCCTGGAGATAGTCATACTGGTCAACTCTTTTCAAATATAGTGGAATGTATTACTTTTGATTTTTGAGTGCTTTTGAAACCAGAATTTAAGAGAAACTGCTGTCACGTATTAGAATATCAGCAGTGTTAATAAGTATCCTACTTGCATTTCTAAGTTGAAAACCAGTTTGGTCTCCAGGACCAGGGAACTTTGTCATAACCATGGATGTGTTTTAGCATTATTATACAATGACATTGTTTTTCTTTAATAATAAAGATTTTAAAAAGGGCTTCACTCCATTTTTTATATGTATTTATATATATATATTTTGGAGAAGGAAATGGCAACCCACTCCAGTATTCTTGCCTGGAGAATCCCCGTGGACAGAGAAGTCTGGCGGACTACTGTCCATGGGGTCACAAAGTGTTGGACATGACTGAGTGCCTAAGCACACAGCACACGTATGCAATGAAATTGTTTTCCTTTAATAATAAAGATTAAAAAAACCTCCTTAACACAAGTTGGAGTGTATAGTGCTGAGGATCAAGAACATATAGCAAACTGAGAAAAATCCTTAGTATTTCAGTATGAAGGTAGTCCTTTGGCATAAATTCCTGACATGAATTTTTATTATTATTACTTTAAACATCCTATTTCTTAGGATCTTGTGTAGCAGTTAATGTAGCAGGCTATTTATAAAATGAGGACTATAGTGTTTAACAGATTGTTGAAAGAGCTGCAATAGTATTTTCATCTGTATTGACTTTATGTACTGCAAGTATCATGTGGCATTTGTCTTGAAATAGGAATAAATAGCAGGTAGAATTTTTTTAGATTTTTCTGAGTTGTTCAGTGTTTTGTGGTTTCCAAAGCATAACATTTTTATTTATCTGAGTGCTCTATAGCAAATTTGTCACCTAAATGTATTAACTTTTGGTGGCCATGAGCATGAGAAGCTAGAGACTATCCTGACAAGGAATATAGTTACAAACTGAGAGACAAAAGGGGAAACAAGTCACTTAAAAAACAAAAAAAAAATCCCTACAGTGATTCATTCTAAAAAGATAACTTGTTTCCATATCGCAGAAATGCATGCATGTTAAAAATATTTTTATTTGATGGTAATCTATGAATCCAAAGAATAAGTGCTTGGTTTTTAACAACAGTTATGTAAAAATCTTTAGGGAACTAATGGTAATTGACTCTTATGGGTCAAATTTTTTAGTGTTAAAGTTTTTGCTTAAATGGAAATTTTAAGATATTAAAAGTAATACCTTAAATTTTAATTTGCATGTTACAAATAGTGCATTTGTATTAGCCACACATGATACTTTGTATTTAATTCTGCTATTGGAGTTCAAAATCTAAAGCTGTTAAAATAAATATTAATTTGATATTAAATTACCATGCTAATGAGTGAGAGGTGTGAATTTTTACAGATTCTCAGTTGGTATATTCAGTGCAGCTTGCCATTAATTAAGATGCAAGGATATAATAGCTGTGACAAGTAGAGTTGGTCAATGAATGACTTGGATTTTCTGGTGTCACAATGTATGTCATTTGAGGAAAAATCACAATTTCCTAAGGGAAACTATCTTTTTAATCAGTACTGGGCCTCTTACATTCATTTACTTATATATGTGGCACTATTACATATGTTTTTATGATACTTATTAGGGATACATGAAATTGCTTTGGACATTTTACATGTATTATTGTTACTCTTAAAGGAGTGTATGTGCTTTTCTGTATGATGGTCATTATATGTCTATGGTCACATGTTCCCGTGTACATTTTCATATATTCTAAACATATACCTGCATTTTGTATTTATAGAAACCATGGCTAATGGTGGAAGGTAAAAATGAATGTATGAAATAATATTTTTTTCTGTATGTAGGCAGTGTTCTGAATGTGACCAGGCAGGGAGCAGTGACATGGAAGCAGAGATGGCCATGGAAACCTTACCAGATGGGACCAAACGATCAAGGAGGCAGATTAAGGAACCAGTGAAATTTGTTCCACAGGATATGCCTCCAGAACCCAAGAAGATTCCAATAAGAAACACGGTAATTTATTCCCTAGTAGTCATAATAACCCTGACAAAACTCTGAGGTCAAAATTTAAAGGGTGAGAAAGACAAAGGGAAAGCATATACTCAGTAGCCAATGAAAGAAATATATTGGTTTTGGTTTTTCTTAATAGTTTACTGTTTTGTATTATGAAATATACCATACCAGTTACACATGAGAATGTATAGTTTACATATTCAATGCAAAGCACAATAATAATGAAGACCCATTGTGTTCACAAACACACTTTAAAGATAGAACATTACCAAAACCTATGAAGTCACCTTTGAATCCCTCAAGACTCACTTCACCATCCATTTAGTCTAGAGGTAATCTCCTTTCTCAATTTTGTGTTTTTTATTCACTCCATTTTTTATATGTATTTGTGTATGTATATTGGAGAAGGAAATGGCAACCCACTCCATATTCTTGCCTGGGAAATCCCATGGACAGAGGAGCCTGGTGGGCTACAGTCCACAGGGTCACAAGGGTCAGACTCGACTTAGTGATTAAACTACCACCATCATGTGTGTGTATATTCATAAATAATACATAATTTTTCACAGTTTGAATTTTGTGTAAATTGAGTCAAACTGTTTTTTTCCCATTATTTGATACTTTGACCAACTTTACCTTGATTTGATTCTTACATGCTGATCTGTGTAATTGTAGCTCGTTTATTTTCACCAGTATGTCATTTTTTATTGAAAATAGATCATTATCAGTTCAGTTCAATTCAGTTCAGTCGCTCAGTCATGTCTGCCTCTTTGCCACCCCATGAACTGCACCACGCCAGGTGTCCCTGTCCATCACCAACTCCCAGAGTCCACTGAAACCCATGTCCATTGTGTCGGTGATGCCATCCAACCATTTCATCCTCTGTCGTCCCCTTCTCCTCCTGCCCTCAATCTTTCCCAGCATCAGGGTCTTTTCCAATGAGTCAGCTCTTCTCATCAGGTGGCTAAAGTATTGGAGTTTCAGCTTCAGCATGAGTCCTACCAATGAACACCCAGGACTGATCTCCTTTAGGATGGACTGGTTGGATCTCCTCCCAGTCCAAGGGACTCTCAAGAGTCCCTCAAGTCTCTCAAGAGTCTTCTCCAACACCACAGTTCAAAAGCATCAATTCTTTGGCACTCAGCTTTCTTTATAGTCCAACTCTCACAACCGTACATGACCACTGGAAAAACCACAGCCTTAACTAAACAGACCATTGTTGGTGAAGTAATAGTTTGGCAGTTTTGTTTCCATTTTATTACTTAAAATAATTTTTTTTACTTATTTTTAGCTGTGCTTGGCCTTTATTGCTCTGTGGGCTTTTCTCTAGTTGTGGCACGCAGGGGCTGCTCTCTAGTTGTGGTGTGAGGGTCTTTCATTCTGATGGCTTTTCTGTTGCAGAGCACGTGCTCTAGAGTGCACGGGCTTCAGCTGCTGCCTGGGCTGTGGCTCCCGGGCCCTAGAGAACGGACTGTATAGTTGTGGTGCACGAGCTTTGTTGCTCCCTGGAATGTGGGGTCTTCCCAGATGAAGGCTCAAACCTGTGTCTCCTGCACTTGCAGGTGAATTCTGAGCCACCAGGGAAGCCCTCCATATTTTTGCTTTTATAAACAATTTCACTTTAAATATTTTTGTAAATCTCTTCTGCAGCTTGGTAACAAGGAGTTAGGGTATATAGCAAAGCATGGATTTGCTTAGTTATAGGATATTGGCATCTTCAGTTTTGCTGGGTAAGTGCAATATTTGCCAAACCAGGTTAAACTTACACCAGCAATGAGTGATGTTGCTTTTTCTGCCAAACTTGGTTTGTCCAGTGTTACAATGCTTTCCAATGTGATATATGTAAATAGTAGAGAGTCATTTTATTTTGCATTTCTCTCAATACTTAGTTGACTTAGAGCATCTATATATTTTTGGTTGGTTGTATGTGCATATCTTATTCAGTTTTTCTATCAGGTTGTTAGCCTATTTCTTATAAAAATTCTCTCAGGTCAGAGCTTTAAAAATTTTTTCCAGAAAACATTTATGTTAGTTATTAGCCTGGGAGCTCTACCAGCCTAAGGCCATTTTAATAAAAGTTTGTCCTGTGTGTCTCTTCCACTTCATGAGTATCGTTAATTTCTACTCCAAAGCTGAGCAATGGCTTACGGTTATGAATTCTTAGGGGAGACATTTTTCACTTTCTTACCTTGAGCCAAGGCAGGCACATTTTACAAATCTGCCTATCCCTAAGGGAGATGTAAATATACTTTTAGGGATAGTTGTCATCATTCATCTGTTTTGTTATCTGTTCGGTTTTAGCTTTACTTTTTCTTTCCCTTACAGTAACAGTTTTCTTAAAAGTTTTTTTTTTTAAATCTGTAGTAACCATCTATATTATAATCACTTAAAAGATTTTATTTAAGAGAAATAACCTAGATTATTTCATTCAGTTTTGTGTCACAGACTCATTTGAAATTGATGAGGCAAATCTGGGAATTGTTATCTTTTAGATAATTAAAATATTTAGTTTTGGGTGCTCTAAATTGATCAACTTGAAATAGTTTTTTTATAATTTCCACTAGTTTAAAACATTTTTTAGATTTCACAAATATATTTTCTTTACAGATGAACGAGAGAGAAGTTTACTTCTTTAAATAAGCCTGCTTGTTTCTATTTCTAAAATATTCTTCTGTAACTCTTTGATGATATTATCTGCAGCTGTTCTTAAGATCTTAGAGAAAAAGCTGTTACTACTTCTTCTGTCTGTGTTTGCATAGATTATCTTCTTAGGGAACATTTTTTCTAGTTTCTTTATTGTTTAAAGACATCTTTAGGAATGATACTACCATTAACTTTGAAGTTATCATATAGAGGGAAATTTTGTACGTATTATAGTGATATTTGTAAGTCTAACTTAAGATAAAACAAGATTCAATTTTTTTCTAATTTACCTGTCTGCTTTTTAGCCTAGAATTATAAGGAAGTTTTTAAGTTTTCCAGTTTAGTCCAGTGCCTTTCATCATATTCTTTGTCTCTAGTTTCTTTGTGTAAAAGTTCATTTTACAGTAGTCATATTATTCTATCAAAATTTTGAAGAAAATTTTACCCTTGTGATATACAGGATTCATGACAGACCTTAAACTTCAATTTCTCATTTCAAAATAGTATCTCACTCAGTAAAACAGTTCAAATGATCATTTGTTCTCTAAGTTTCCATTTCTGTCAAATTTGTTATGTTCCATTAGATTATAGTGATAGCACAATTTTTAAAAAAGTAGTTTGGGGTTCTTTCATGCTAGTTGAAATGATTTCATCTTCTTTCAGAAACCCATATTGTGAGGTGTATGAATTGATATTCTGTTAGAATGATTTTATTTTAAAAAAATTAAGACTTTACAGTATAATTAAGTGGATAGAACTTTAATCTCTTTGTCCAAGAACCATTGAAAACAAAAAATGATCAGAACTGCTATGGATTGAAGTTCCATTTTCATTGAATAGTTTTCCTTATCCTCTATTATTAATTTCTCTCCTTTTATACTTTATAAATATACTTTATTAATATACTTCATATCTTTATGTTTAAAAATAGCATCATGGTAGTGAGGGAGTAAAAGGGAGAAGGAAGGCATTCATGTGTTGGAATATATGAGTAAATACTAGTGTGTTGCTGGTAATAATTTAACATCTTTTTATCTATACTGCTAATAAGTCCAACTATTATTTTATATTTCTTCCTATTATTTGACCTTTGGCTATTTTACTTCATAACATTTTTCAAAGGTAAGTCAGAAGTGGAAGTGAGTATATGTTTACTCTTACATAAAATAGTTTAATAGTAATAATACCTAACATTTTCTGAGGGTTGATCATATACCAGACACTGTAGTAATCCTCCATCCTACTCCCCCTTAAAAAAATTAGTACTTAGCTATTATAACTTGTGTATTACTCAGGCACAGAAACCTTCAGTAATTTACCTGTGATCTTACAGATAGTAAGAAGAATAGGAATTGCACCCAAATAGCTGAATTAAGAAGTAGTGTCTTTTCTGAGGTCTGTAGAAGAGCATATTTAGTTGTGGTGCAAATGGAATAGTTGCAAAAACATTTGATCATTAGATAACGTAGTTGGGAATGTGATACGCTCATCTGGTACCAGAATGGTCATGTGTCTTTCCATAGTATAGTGTTACCTATAAGCAGCCAGACACATAGCCACCTACTGACTCTTAAAACTGAGTTCCTTCACATTAAATATTACATTTAACACTTTTTCTTTGTACTTTCAATTGGTGTGAAACTGAACTGTTGTGAACTGTTTTCCTTTTCAAGCTTGTGCAGGAGAGTTGGCAACACTCTTGTCAATCACAGTATAATGCTGTGAATAAAACATTTGAAAATTATTTTACCTTGAGGACATTGATATCTTAAAAAATCAAAAAGAAGAAAAAATTAGAAGCTGCAAATCAATAAGTACATTGATGGCATGTGTATGTGTGAGCTGCCTTTATACGTTTATTTTATTGTTCTCTGTTTCGGTTTGTATTTTTTCTACCACATGGAGTACTGTGAAACCTGCTGTGGGAAAAAAAGGAGTATTGAGTGAAATTAGAGAAGTGCATGGTGGCTTTCTTTACATTTTTTTCCTTTCCTAGCTAGTTATCCCAAATTCCCCTAAAACATTTGTCTTGTTACATCTCAACTTTTTTGATTAAGCAGTGAATATCTTTTTTATTTGTTTGCTTGGTTTGGTCACTCTTAAGACAGATGAGCCCATAGACTCAATCTTTGTGCTCCAATGCCTCTTTTGTGCAAAGCAAAGCGACTACTAGAGAATTGGCATCCACCTTCTTCTGCTGACAGGCAGTTTCTATTTATTATAACCAAAAGGTGCAACAGGGAGTAGAACACTTTGTTTGACCTTACTTTATTCTTATTATTTGGATACTGAAGAAATTCATTTTTTATTTCATTCTACTCTGATTTCCTTAATAAGAATATACAGAAATCTGAAGA